GGCCACTATTTTGAGAAAGGGCAGTGGAAATAGTTGGGGCTCATGAATTGGGATTAGGCTGTAACGGTCACTAGATGTGTGGAAAACTGATTCCCCCCCACACCATGTGTTAAAGAGGAGTCACAACAAGCATTGAGCTAGAAATAAAGCATTTATTTTAAAATAATACAGGTTAATAAATAGATTAGTTATCAGAAAAACTTAATAAATAGCCTTTTATAATTTACACAAGGCAAATACAACATGCCTATAACTATTGTTTAAAAAGCAAAGAGAGTAAGCTTGACTTGTAAGCCATTAACAAATCTATATATACATTATTTGGAAGCTAATAAAATAAACCATTTTTTGTGTAATCTGTAGTAACAATATTGCAGTAGCATTGAAGCAACCGAACCTGTCACTGTATGTTTCTTGCCATCTACCTTTTCCCCATATTGTGTCAAAACTACGTTTTACATTCCAGGAAAAAAAACAAACCCAACAACCACAACAAAACATTAAAAAAAGCCAAAACCAACAATAAGAACAACAAAAAAAGAAAGTTCCACTGTTGTAAAAGTATTTGACTTAAAAATACCCCTTTTGTGTAATATTTTCCACTCTGTCGAGCAACTGGGGGAGGAGGGAACACAAAAAAAAAAAAAATAAAAATCCACCCTTATTTGCAGTTTTAAAAAAAGATTTCTTAATCCATAACATTTCAACACTGCTGTCTGAAACACTTGAGACCTAGCAATAATAACTGTTGACATCATTGGTGCCTAACATGGTACACACTAAAATTCTGCATCATTTAAGCCCATATTCCTTAGCACCAAAGAGTTATTACAAAGACTAATCTCTGTAAAGAAAAGATAACAAATAATAGATAAACATTTGATAATGTCTGACTTAAGAGTAAAACTTCAGCAGTTACACCATCTCAAGACAACTGAGGAAGATCTGTAGAGTCGTTGGTGTTTTATACTTATGAAACTCTGGAAAGTGGGAGGGGTACAATGTGCAAACAACTACCCATTGAAAGCACCCCATATTTATTAACCCCAAAACTTTCTTCAAATACAAACCCTCTATTTTTTAAAATAAAAAAGGAAAGCTAAACCTCAGTTTCTACTGTTTCAACAAATTAATCCAGTGTTTTCATTTTTCAGGGCTAGTTATTTCAGAAAAATACATACGTTCAGTATAAACCAAGATTATTAATAGGAAGCCTCACTTGTCAAACTGCAATATGACAGGTTCTTATTAATGTTAGTTACAGCTCACTAATAAATAGGCTCTATTTACACAGACAGAGTCCAGAAAAGTCAATACAGCAGATAACTTGTTTAGGTGTTTTTCTTTTTTACATAAGTATTTAAGGTGTAACAAATTTTTTTTTGGTTGTATCAAAAAGGTTTCTATTCTCCTACTGAACTCTTGAGGGATTTTTGTGTTTGACACCTAATAAAGATTGTGGCTGACACATGTAAATCCTCCATACACTGAAGGTATAATGATCAAAGAGCTATCTTCACATGAGTACCAAGTAAATGTGTTTGACAAGTGTAATAGAAACCAGACCTATGGAGTGGAATGCTTTTCGGATGGATTTGAATTTAATTCAGATGCATCCCACCACTGTAATGAGCCTACTTTTTGTATGTATAACCTCTCCGACTTCTACTTTGGAATCAGAACTGAAGTCGTCTGGCTTGTAGCTGTCAAGAGACGTAATGCAAAGAGCCACGAACAGGGCAGACCTGTGAGGGACACCGAAGCTCAGGAGACAGCTGTGCACATTTGCTCCCTGAGATGACGGTACTCAGTTATCTGTCTTATTCAAAGTGCTTACTTGTCAAAGGGGTGAAAAGAAAGAGAAAATGGCTAAAACTCAACTTCAACAGTGCCTCCTTTTAAATCAGAAAAGCAACAGGACTAAAAAAAGGTAGGACACTTAGAGCGAGGAGGGCAAGGAGGGTGTGGGATGGAAGGAGGGAAGAATCATACCAACAGTGACAACAGAAAATGCTAATACATTTCTAAAGTTAGAACTGAACCAGATCCAGGTACAGCAGAACTCAGAAGAACACTGCTACATACTGAACAAAGTAGCAAAAATAACGGTTTCCATTATTTAGCATTCATGATGTAAAAGGCTGCAGATATAAATGATGTGCAAGGCCACAAGAATTTCCTTCACCTTATGTGCTGGCTTTTGACATCTCTGTTTTAAACAATGAGGTTAACTAGACATTTCTGGAAAGCTAATCATGAGGAGCAGCTGGGGAAAAGAGAAGAAACCAATGCAAACATTTATCAGCTATAAGGATGACCAGAGGATCACACAACATGGCTGCTACTGTGTTCTAACTCTGCATAGTGAGAGCTTATCAAGTAAACTTGTGTCTGTGGTGCAGAAAATGGCAAGGGCAGTCAAGTTATTTTGGATCTAATATTTACTAACAATTTGCATATGCACCTAACATACTAGGATAGGCACTTTCTAAATAAACAGGAATTAATTTTAAAAGGAAACAAGGCAAACAAATATGGCCAAAGAAGAACTAAGATGACATCATCATCTCTATTCTGACCTAAAGATTTTCACAGGTGTCTTCAGAGATTAAAGGCTATCACAAAAAACCAACAAGCAACTCATGAACTCTGAATCTGAACTTTGAAAAGACAACTTGACTGCTTCAGAAAAAAAGCTAACATTGTTTTAAAAATTAGGTCACTACAGGTCTCAGTCTATGTACAATTTCTATTTCCACCAGGAAAAAAGGGAATTAATATGACAAAACATAGCTTGATTCTCAGTGGGCAGTTATCTTCCAATCAATAATGGACAGAGGTTAGTTTTAGCTTTCACAGTCCAATTCCCCTCATCTACAATTCTCAGTCTTCATAGAAACCATACACAATATTTGAAAATCCATGGACATGGTCTTTTGTCTGCTAGGGCTATTTTATTTCACCAAGGTACCCAGTTTGTGTGCTGGCCTGTAACAATGTACATGTCTGCCAACTCGGTCATTCCCTCCGTTTGGAGATACAAAACAAGCTTCCACATAACACAGTGGGGCTCTTACTCAGAACAGTCCCTTCAGAACACCAAATCTTTAGGATTCACTGCTCATGATTATTGCTGCCATGAGAAGGGCTTATAATGTTCCTTATAAATGAAAACGGAGGCCAAGTTTTAAGGTGATATTAATCCAGGTCGACTAAAACATCCTGGGAGTGGATGTATTAGTTCCCATTAATTAGTGTACATATTCCTGTCAGCCAGCCACAAAGCTACATTCATGGTTTCTTGATAAAGTGTCATTAACTTCTTCAAATACTGTCTCATAATCATGCTGGGGTTTTTTTGTTTGTTTAAAGAGATATTCTGAACTAGAGATGTTGAGTTTCACTGTACACTTCCATTTTTTTACCTAAATGGAAACCTTAAGTGGAAACATTCATTAGTTTTCAAGCTTTCTTTGCAAGTTTTTGACTTGTGATGTTTTAACTACCAAATATGGGTAGAACATGAAAATGAACCATTTCTTTCTTTGACATATCAATATTCTCTAAATGGCTTAAACTGAACAGTTCAGAATCATTCCAATCATAGCTTAAGCTATCTGTACTACTTGTCAAAACATTATGGCTGAACTGTTCACACAGGTCTGTAAATTACTGGATCTGAATGTATATCCCTATTTGCTATCTGGAATTCAGCTCTCTGAGTGCCTATGCTTTTTGAGACTTTACCCTCCTTTTTCCACATTACAAGAGGATCAGACCGTCTTTTTTGTGCTATGAGAAATCTCATGCTCTTCTTTCTCCCCCCCCTTTTTTTTTTTTTGTGGTCTCTGCTTATTAGCTACTTCACAAAATGGTTTCCTGTATTTAGTCACTTCACTAAAATAAAGGTATGCTGGATTGCTTTAAACAGTCCTGCCATAGATTGACTCTTCCCATTAGGACTATGGGTTTTTCAGAAGCTGTCAAGGCATCTAAGGGTTTCACTTCAGATTTGTAAAGTTTTCCCAAAATGTGTGGCTCTTTCTGGATGCTTTATGTGTTTAGAATTTGAATACAGTCCAATAATAGAGACAGTGAAGTTCAATTATTAAACGGGTATAGGCCATCTAAAACAAATACATTCACATTTATGCAATTTTTTCAGATTACAAAGGCACTGAAATAGCTCTGAGCTGCTTACAAATAAGCCACCGTATAGGCAATGAGTCTGTGCATCATTTCCACATCCTTCAACAGTCTTTCTGCCAGCTCCCAATTAAAAACTCTTAAATTAATGCAATATGTCTTAATGCACATAAGTTACAAATTAAAATGTATACCTGGACACTACCATCAGCTGGTAAGTAACCGGTGAAAGATTTTTAAGGGTCCACTGCTCTGTATAAGGAATTTAAAACTCCCCCGTGTCTTCACCACATGGCAGACCAAGATGCTGAATGGTCACTGAAAAGGACAAATCTGCAGTCCATAGTACAACCAGCACTTGTCTCAGAACTCACAGCCTTGACAGTGAACACATTGCTATATTGAGATTAACAAATCGTTCCACTCTTCCCCCATATTTTAAGGTATACATCACTCTGAAAGGTGTCAGATTGAGCGCATTAGAAACTGATGTTCTCTGCCCACAAAAATGGTACTTCAGAAGCCACAATAGAAGCTTTTACACACAAGTCCTTCACAATATCCTCAGATCTTTTCTGATGGATCACCTTTTAGAGTAAGGAGATACATCAGTCTCTATGCTGACTCAATCAGTGTTTCCAATTAAGGTCATTTATTGTGTCAGCTGGGGTACATGGACAACTGTTCCTTTGAAACTGGATGGAGGTGTCCAATTCATTTCATATAGGCCACCAAATTGGTGGTTACCAAATTGGTTGGTAACTCCCAACCTGAATCATATTTGAACCAGTGACCTAGAAATGAAAGGCTCTGCATTCTTCCCTGAGCCATCCAGTTTCCCCTCAAAAAGTATTTTAATCTGTTTTCATGTTAGGTTTATTTAAATCCCCGATATTGAAATTGAATTCCTTGAAAACTTGTATAAGAACAATTCCAATAGATACGGTGGTGAATCCACAAGCCATTCCCAAGAAATCTACCACTCCTACATTACTCCATTCCCTGAAAAGGATGGCTGAAGCCAGCAGGACTAGGGTGGTAAACACAACATAGTAGATGGCACCAAACACAGAGGAGTCGAAACATTCCAGTGCCTTATTGATATATCTGAACTGAATGATAATGCTACATCCTAATACTGCCAGAAGTACCAGACAGAGGTACAGAGCCCTTTGACTTGATGGGTTATTGTGAAAGATATCTTGAGCAGCCAACCCAATGCCTTTTGTGCTGGGAACAGTGAAACTGCCCAACAGAGAGCAAATACTGATGTAAACCATAATATTAGTAGGTCCATGAGCTGGAGCTATCCAGAAGATAAGCAGGAGAAGCATTAGCAGCACTATGCAGAGATAACCCACGAAAACTGGAAAACAAAAAGAAAACAAGATAAGAGCAAGATGACAACTCTTGGTATTCTAAAGATTTTAGCAGGTAAATCATGTCGTACCAGTGAATTTCAGGCATACACAAGGAGTAAGATTTGTTACTGAATAGAGATTCAAGCCACTGAGATTTTAGAGATGTGGGCATCTGTAATTGATGTTATGTTCTCTGGGTAAAACAAACCATGAAGTAAAACACACACAGTCACATATATGAACTAGATTTAAGATGGCTTTTTTATTATTATTATTCTCTCTTCCACCAGGATTATACTCCTTAAAGCCCTCTGTGACAGAGAGCAGTGATAACACCTCATTCATAACCAGTTCAGTAATGTATGGGGTGTGGATATAGCAAAGAGCTGAAACAAAGTTGGACCCCATTAAAGTGAGTAGGAAGAGCTGGAAGAACTGGGAGGCCATATCATCTACATTATGGCATCAGTACAAGATTAGACAAGTGGAAAACATCTCATGCTTTACAGTTTTAAAGAAATGTATTTCCCACTCACTTTGGTCAGATTGAAATGGTAAAGTTAGACCAGGGTATTTGTTTTCTTTTCTTTGTTTGGAAATTTTTTTGATAGCTGATAGTATTAGGTTTGAGTTTCTCTCATCTAAAGTGATTAAAGGAAAAAAATAGTTGGCAGTTTAACTCTTATGCAAGAAAAATAAAAGTGGGTCTGGCACTTATTAGCACTAGTATGTGTCCTCCAGCAGCTAGTGGGGCTTCACATTCTCTGTGAGAGAGAATAGGCATTTCAGCATGTCTCAGTGCATTTCTACACACCTTTACTGTGCAAAGAAATCTGCTTGGAACACAACTGGCATGTAGTATAAACTTTTAATTAAAATAAAATGCAGAATTAAAAAACAGACCTATATTGAGTTTGCCTGGCATGGTTTTGGTAGTGTGGGGCTACAGGGGTGGCTTCTGTGAGAAGCTGCTAAAAGCTTCCCCTATGTCTGATGAGCCACGGCCAGCCAGCTCCAAGATGGGCCTGGCCCTGGCCAAGGCTGAGCCCATCAGTGATGGTGCCTCTGTGACAACATATTTAAGAAGGGGGCAAGTGGGGGGGAAACCTGCGCAAGGGCAATTGCAGACAGAGAGAGGAGTGAGAATATGTGAAAGATGCAACTCTACAGACACAGATCTGTGAAGGAGGAGGGGGAGGAGGTGCTCCAGGCACTGGAGCAGAGATTCCCCTGCAGCCTGTGGTGAAGACCATAGTGAGGTAGGCTGCAGGTTATCCACCTGCAGCCCATGAAGGATCCCATACCAGAGGAAGGGGATGCCTGAAGGAGGCTGTGGCCCCGTGGTAATTCTGTGCTGAAGCAGGCTCCTAGCAGGACCTGTGGTCTCATAGAGAAAGGAGCCATGCTGGAGCATGTTTGCTAGCAGGACGTGTGACCCTATGGGGGATGAATGCTTGAACAGTCTGTTACTGAAGGACTATACCCTGTGGAAAGGAACCATGCTGGAGAATGGGAAGGGTGTGAGGAGCCCTCCTCTTGAGGAGGAAGGAGCAACAGAGGCAATGTGTGACTAACTGACAGCAGCCCCCCTACTCTGTTCTGCATCCTGCTGTGCTGCTGGGGTGGAGGAAGTAGAGAAATCAGGAGCAAAGCTGAGCCTGGGAAGAAGGGAGGGGTAGGGGGAAGGTGTTTTAAGATTTGGATTTATTTCTCATTATCCTACTCTGATTTGATTGGTAATAAATTTAACTAATTTCCCCAAGTCAAGTCTGTCCTGCCTGTGACAATCATTACTGAGTGATCTCCCTGTCCTTATCTTGACCCATGAGCCTTTCATGTTTTCTCTTCCCTGTCCAGCTGGGTAAGGAAATCAATAGAGCAGCTTTGGTGGGCACTGGGCATCCAGCCAAGGTCAACCTACCATGGAATAAAACAACTTAAACTGAGATCCTAGAATCATACCTTCCACCTCTAAGTAGCACTTTTTCATAATTCTAGAAGATCACAAGTTCAACAGGCCATTGTACTGAGCTTGCAGTGCAAGATGTTTTCAAAAGTATCCACATTTTCCTTTCTGCACACATGTATCAATAAATCTGACAAGTACAGAAAGGCATAGGGTTTTTTTTACAAAAAAGCTATACTGCTTTGCCTCTCTCATGTCCTGTTTCCTTCAGAAGTCAATTTTCCTACCTGGTGGAAGTGATAAGCCTCTTTCCCCTGCATGCTCTTGATCAGTCTTACAAAATCATTATGAGATAATAAAAGGACAATGTACCTGGATTTGTAAGCTTCTCTTCAAGCTCAGCCTGAGTCGTTACACTCTCAGACTTTGGGGAATGGATGATGAGAACAACAGACCCAGCGCAGCTCAGCAAACATCCCAGCTTGCCAAGAATGTTCAGTTTTTCTTTCAGTAAGTAAGAAGCTAAAATGGACCTTTCACAAAGAGGAAGAAAATTAAAAGTTTAAATGCATTCTGTTAATAGTAGTCTAAGAGTGATGTGCCACAGGAATTTCCCTCTTAAAGGAATAGTATCAAACGTTGGCAGACCTTTGACCAAATGTTGGTGGATCCTCAGAATACATTTCTGACTTCTTTTATTCCTGCAGTTTGTCTTACTCAATCCTCCATGTATCATCCTCATCCAATCACAAAACTCAAAAAACCACTACCATATTATGCCCCCCCAAAACCAAATACACAAACCAGGCATCTGGCACCTGAGGCAGAGATCTACCCATTAACAATTTAGTGAGCTGTCATGAAATCCCATTTTATAGATGCTATGCAGTTATGAGATAAAAGTGAGCCTGGGTTACAAAGATCCCAGGGCTCAGCTCAGACACAGAGCTGACCAAAATAAACAAAATAGTGTGGCCTAGGATAAAATAGTAAGTAATAAGTAGAGTACCATCAGCATGCTTCATAGCATGTAAAACTAAAGACAGTCATGAAACACACACAAAGCAGTCTACACTGAATACACAATCCAGCAGCCAACAGTAGGCAACAGAAAAATCCCAAGGCTTTGTTTTTAAAGAATTGTGCTTTTTCACTGCAGTAGATTCACAACAGTTAGCTATTCACAAAACATTTAGTAGCATATTAAAGTGCTTCTAGGAACACTCACTGACTTTGTTCCCACCACTCCTTCCATGAACATAACATTCAAGAAGCTGGGAGCATGTGTATGCAAGGGACTCCCTTGCTTAAGGAAAGGGGCCAGATCCAATTAAATGAAACTCGGCATCAATATACATATGTGGGCTGTGGACAGCAGAGGAGAGAAAGAATGTGAATCAAAAGGAAAGATCTACATAGTAAAGGAACTGTGAATAAGAGAATAGGCAAAAGAGTCCAGTATGACCACAGTGAAGGAGGAAAGAAATTTAAAAAAAAAAAAAAGTGGAAAGAAAACAGATCACTATCAGGTGATAGTTAAAGCAGAAGATGCTCAGGATCTCTTTCTTCACCATTGTCTTGTCTCCACCCCCCCGCCCATGTTATAATGTGACATTATAACACATAATTCACAGTCAAAAGCCTGACATCCTCAGTGGAACTCCAGTGATCACCGAGTCTGACATTTTATTAAGTAGTAACAACATTCAGATAAGAAAAAGAAAAGCAAACCCTTACCCAAATGGAACGCCAAGAGCTCCCAAGGGCGTCACGAGCACAGTTGGGACTGCAGTGTAGGCCAAGAAATTACCTATTTGACCCAGAGCCACTGTCAACAGAACCAGAAATAAGCCTTTAAATCCCTTTGTGAAAAGAAGTAATGAAAACTTACCCAATGCTGTTTGGGAAAGATTGATCTAACTGGAAAACAGATGTTACAGATTTGCTTAGCTCTGTTCATTTTTCACTTAAAAAAAAATGGCTGGAATTTTTCCATATTTTAAAGCTATTTGTTAACACAGGATTTATATTTGCCACACAAGATGATCCAAGTGGTCACAATAAATAATTTCATTTGCAGCTTCTCTTAGTTGAATATAAATAAGACTACAAATTAGAACCACTCATGGATCACTTTTGAATTTCTCAATATTACATTCAAATATTTCTATGAGAAGGGTAAAAGTATATATAACCCATGATTATACATGTAACGTGAATGCAGTCAGTTATAGTTTATAACAGCAGTTTTACTTTTTGGGGAAAAATAAGGAAAGTACTGAGGAAAGGAATCTAATCATCAAATGCTAGGCACATAAATAAAGGCTCTGCAATGTACAGGAGACCACATCAAATTTTCACAACACTGTATAACATCAGAAATGATTCCTGACCACTGTAAAAAAAACAGATCCCTGACAAGCCACAATAACAGCCTCACAAAGGTATTTTTTTCTTTCCCCCAATAAAATCAAATTCCAAAATGTAGCACACTATTGCACATCACAGCTGTGACAAACAGTTCGTGCGTTCAAGTTTTCAGTTTAAAAAGAAAAGCTGGATGGTTTTGCAAGTGCTGGCAAGTTTATAATAGGCAACATGATGCTTGCCAGTTACCACAGACCCTGTAACTATGCAAGAACCTTGAGACTGAACACAGATTACATACAGGTCAAATTTCCCGTTGATAGTAAGGGCCATTATCAAGCATTTAAGAACATTTCAAGAATTCAAGCTGTCTTTATGCTCATGCTGCCATCGCCCTTGAGCATCAAATATCATTACCATCATCCTGTTCTTTACACCTGCAAAGCACAGTGCAAACATTAATTTACCAAATTAGCTCACATTAGCCGTAGAGCTGAAGACCTCTGTAACCTACACAGGAGACAAACAAACTTAAAAACTGCGGAGTGTGGCAAAATTATACTAATTCAATTCACTGAGGCTTTCTGTAAGTGCAGGAGTGAGCCAGAGAAGTTAATGAGCAGCATTTCTGGCCTCCCTGCCCCTGGGAACAGAGTAACTCGCCTATCAGCCTCGGGCTTGCCTTTCATCAGAGGTATGTGGCAGCTTTGGCATTATCTTCAAGGCATCTGAAGGCACTGGGGCAGATCTTAAGTGGAGGACAGGGCACAGCTAGCGTGCTGTGTTTCTGCAGATTACATACCTTCCAAGTAACTCTGACAAAAGGTTGCTTTTTTTGGAGGTCAGGTGCCTTAACTTTCTGTAGGAAGAACCCGAACAGATGGCACCAACACTGATCCATAAATTAGGTCTCTGAAGCTTGAAGCTTCAGCCAAACAGCACATACTGTAAGGCAACTGAACTTACCACAGGTTTTCAGTATCACCACGGAGTGATAGTAACAGTCTTTTGCCACCATAAATGACAGACCAAGACTAATTAAGACTAATTAAAAAAAGAATCTCAGTAATTGTTACCATCTACCTAATGTTCAGGACCTTTGCTGCCGACCTGTCCAGTCCTCTCTGAACAGAAATTCCTCTCCAGATACATCAATGCTCTAAGTCAAGACATGGCTTCAGTTCTTGAAGGCACACCAACCTTTAAACTCACTAAAGTAGGGCAAATATACCCAAAGTTACTGCAACACAAAAACCTTGATGCACACTGACATGTCTACATTAGCAAGGAGACCAGGAGTAAATCTGTACAGCAAAAAAATGTCTGCTCTACCTATGTCAAGGAGTTTGTTTCAGACTGACTTCAGCCTTCTCCCCTGGACTGGAAGTCTATTTGCAGCTGCTGTGCATTAGGCATGTTCCTACAGTGCATCTTCCAGCCTAGCTGCATCTTAAAGACCAGTTCAGGAGCTCCAACACTGCTCCATGATGTGAAATAAAGGCCAGCTGGGGGAGATAAACAGATTCACTTCACGAGTATATTCCCCATCTGCAATAAAACACTAACATAGATGTATCCGCTATAAAACTCAGCTGCATCTATATTGCTTTCAAAACCTGCACTGAAACTAATTAATTAGCCAATTAATTAGTTTAATGCTAATTGAAATACCTGTACACATGCCGCAATCACTCGTTTGACTACAGTGTAAGAAAAAGTCCCTTAGCAGAATCTGTAGCCCTTCCTTTGAAGTCTTCAGTAATCCAGTGGATCCCAAGGCCCCAAAATGGTTAGGCAGTGTTATGCTGAGTCAGCATGCCAACACAGAAATGCTTGTTCACCATCTGAACAAATATTGTGAAAAGAAGTTGATAGAGTTTATGTGGGTTTTGTTAGTCATCCAAACTCCAAATTCCCTGCTTGAGAAAATGATGTCAGCTCTATCATCTCTCCCTGATAACTGTTTACTCCCCAAACATCACCTTCCTCTGCATCCCATAGGTGCCTACCTGGCCCTTGCTATTGCTGTTTCTGACTCTACTGCAATTCTGAATCTATCATATCCTTAAGCAATTCTTCCCTTGGCTCCTTTGGAAACTTACTGAGGCTTTGTTTTGAAATACCTGCACCTAGCTACTGGACAAAAGCCAGCTGATACCATTCCCTTCAGCTATTTTGCCTTCATTCAATTCTGTCAGCTCTTCTAAGCATGAAATCGTTTTCTCTGATTCACCAAGATAAACTCCTGTAATAAAACCTGTCTCATTTTAACTCCTTCTGCTCTGAATTTCAAGATGGGAACCTCATGAGCAATAAACAACAGAAATTAACGCATGGATTTATTGCTACTTAGGCAGTAGTGATTCTGGCAGAGGAGTAAGATGACAAAGTACTAAATAAGCTCAGGCTAAATTAGCTGAGGACTTTCCTCTGAAGCTCCGTTGGCTTCTACACTTGCTGTGAACTTTGTCCTTCAAGGGATCTATTAGCTTCCATTCCTTTTGCATAGCTTGAAGACAACAAAAACAGACTTACCTTGTTGCTGTGAAACAAGGGGCACAAACAGCTGTGTATACTTATCAGAAACAGTATCAGAACATTTTCAAATAATTTGCAAAAGGCTGGGTTAAAGTCTAAAAGTGGGATAGGATTTTAAGCTCATGAGTAGAACTAGGGCTGAACTGCAGGAGAAAGCTCACTGCTCCCCATGCTCTGGATTCACATCAGAGAGGGAACTTAGCCTGAGTAGAGATACCAGGAGCGAAATTACACTGATCTCATATCAGCACCACACAAGGCTTCACATTAATCTTGTAGATTAAAAGGAAAAATGAAACTGTGTCAAACTAGAAATCAAAAAGGATTTTTTTTCTTCAGTTGAGACTAGCTAAGTGCTTTCTGATCTAAAAATTTAACATATGCTCAAAGAGCCCTTTTGTGCAGAGCGACAGTTTCTTTTTCAGCTTTGACTTTTATTAAAAACTGAGTGGGGACCAGTGCAGTCCAGAGACACAAACCGTGCAGGAACTCAGAGTCAGATCAGCACATGGCTGCCAAGGGCTGCAACTACCAACAGTTCAGAAATCTGGACAGATGTCTGACTTGGGATTATCCCTTCTCTGCCTTCTCAAACATCATCAGACACAGCAGCCAGACTGAGAGTTTACTGAAGGTGGGATATTTTTGAGGGATGGGAATGTTGTGACAAAGAGTGTGAGATTCAAGATGAGAACCAAGACTTCCTGATGTCTCATTACACTCTCTAACTGTGACTTCTTCCTTCAAATAAAAGCAAGCCATTTAAAATACTTACTTGCAATAGTGCCAGACCACCATACTATATCTGTTAAGTACGAAGTACCTGGAAGAGGAAGTATAGGAAGATGTATTAGAAAAATATGGAATTGCAATATTTGAACTACAAAATAGAATAATTTCAACAGTCTTAACTGTTAGGGACCTTCATTTTAACTCTTTTCTCCAAGGCAACTGAGTAGGAGGAAAACAAGAGAGAAGGTGCTCTGATTTGGCCTAAGTGTTCAAGCTGGATCTTTTTAAGAGAACCTATTAGTCAGAAGTTCTGGCTTCCAGTGAAGTGCTTATGTGATGCTAAAGCGGTATCACTTAGAAGAGAGCCCAAAACGTCACCAGATGCTTCTGAGGGTGTCATTTAGACATTAGAACCACACCTAAAAGAGTGGGAAACTTATGGAAAAAAAAAAAAAACATCAATTAGTTTGGTAATATAGCCTCAGTTAAATGGTATGAGAGTAATCATTTTGGGATGCAGTTTTAGAAGTACCATAGCACGGATCAATCCTCCTGTGTTTGAGCACTGGAAAATGCTACAACTGAAGCCTCCTGGCATACTGCCCCTTTTCACAGAGAGCAGTAAAACTCTGGATTGTCCCTCAGTGTCTCCTAAACTCAAGGATTCTTATTTTCATCATCAGATTATAGGCTTTTGCCTTGGGACATGCCAGGGGAGGCTGTGCACCAGATTTTATAAATTCTGCTTTTGTAGAACACCAATGCCAGTGCCCACTTACCAAACTAAAGCCTGGCCTCCACTGGGCATGACCTTGGCATGACGCTATGCTCTTATGTTCTGCTCCTCTTTCTAGCAATGCAGCTCTGCATTTAGTTGGGAAGATGTCCTCTCAAGAGCTACTGGAGCAATAGGCAATACTCTACCTACCCTGAAATCCCAGATGAAAGAAAAACACAGTAATCTATAACTCCAGAGAGCTATAAAATATTAAGCACTTGGAAGTCACACAATATAATTGAAATGAGATGGAAAATGACTAATGAAAATGGCCAGCTTTAGAGTGGGTGTAATAATTTTTTATACTTTTGTTACTGCATATAAAAACAAAAACACTGTTGGGGGCACAAATTACAGAAAATATTGACTCAAGTAAGATAACTTTGCAAAACATTTGTCACCTGCTGCTGTTTCTAACTAAGCAAGGATTACTAATTGCATTGATACTATATTATTGATTTGATGGAGAAGACAGAAAAGACTTGAAGTGCCTCCTTTGTTAATTATACAACACCCAGTGAAGCCAGTGGAAAAAAGACATCATCTGACACGGATGATCTCGGGCTCACAGCTCTGACTGCTAGATTCCAGGCAGAACCACTCTGCTCCACAGCATTCACTAGAGACAAACTTACTGTATTTGCCTGGATGGCCCCACACTGAGCATGGCAACAGGCAACACTGCGAAATGCTCAACAAGATACACAAATAAGCATCAGTATCATCTTCCTGTCAGGTTGTTTTACAGCTGCCAGCTCTACGAAGGCAGGCACACACCCATCACCTGCTTAACCTAGAGACCCAACTATGCTGCAAAATGGAAACTTCCTCCAACTGCTTTGAGATAGAAAGTGTTTCCTTTCTCTTTCGTTTACACATTGTTTCCCTGAAAAAAAAAAAAAAAGATGCAAATGTGATCTCTCTGGACAATAAAATGGATTACAGCCATCTTGGAGAGAAAGGGAGACTGCTTGCAAAACGGTGCTTTGTCTGAGGCCCTTAATTGTAAGGTCATTGCAGAAAAGGCAAAATAAACTTGTGAGATCAGCCTGCCAGCTGCCAGTAACGTAGTTGCAAGCTTGTTCTACTCCACTGCATCCACCATGAACAGGGTAGAGGCAGCAGGCACTGGAAATGCACTGCTGCTCTAATACTGACCGCCTGAAATACATATATCTGTGTGTATATGTATGTTTATGTACACATACAGAGAAGATACCTAGCATGCCCTGGTTATTAAAAAAGATTTTTCATAAGAGAATTCCCAGAACTCATGGACACAAGTTCATATGCACACAGACTTCACCACCTACAAAACACATGGCTATTGACCACAGATACACAATTAAAAGGCCTCAAGTAATCTGTATTTTACAACTCTCCACTCACATAAAACCATTATATTAAGAACAAATAAATACATTTAATTTTCCTGTATTCAAAGTATCAAGATGCAACTAGCAGATGCTGTTTGGAGTGTGCATGCTTTTGGGAGCTCCTATTTCAGAATACAGAAGATATTCATATTCTGTGAATTCACAGCTTTGTTTTGGCTGAACTGCCTAGACAGCACAGTCAGTTCCTGAGTATGTTCCTCTGAGAAAACAACAATGAGGTATGGGATTTCAATATGAACAATAAAATAAAGTGATTTCATGTTGCTTGTGTGCCTTTCTTCTCTACAAAAGGAAACCACCACATGACTGATGTAACTTGCCCTGTGTGTCCATGAGAGAACTAGAATAAACAACTGACAAGATGTGCTGGTGCTGTTCGTGGTGAGAAACTATCTGAGCCAGAGAAACCGATAGAAAAGTCCCGCAAGTACCTGAAAACGCCACAAGAGAAACCTATGTATGCACGCACACGAGTCCCTGATGTTGCGTTACAGCGTGCCGGAGGACCAGTGAGCTGGCCCTACACCGGGAAGCTCTTGCGGATCCCTACGTTAATACACCCCGGCCGCTTGCTCTCCACCTGCCGCCCAGGCGGGAGCTGATCGCATCCCTTACGCCACGCTCCAGCCACCGACCGCGGATGTCTAACGCGCTTAAGGTGACCACCGAAGGTCGGCGCCTCCGGTCCAGGGCCTGGAAGGGGTTCTCCGCTCCAGGCGACACCGTCACCCCCCGACCAGAGGGTCTGTCCACGGGGTGCCTCTCGCCTCCGCTCCCCCCAGGGCTGGGCGGCGCGG